CCTCAGCCTCCCGAGTAGCTGGGATTACAGGTGCCTGCCACCACGCCCAGCTAATTTTTGTATTTTTAGTAGAGATGGGGTTTCACCATGTTGGCCAAGCTGGTCTCAAACTCCTGACCTCAAGTGATCTGCCCACCTCGGCCTCCCAAAGTGCAGAGATTATAGGCATCAGCTACTGCGCCGGTCTAGCAATAGTCTTTTGAAGAGTTTTAAGCAAAGGAATGCCAGAATCAGAAATAATGGTTTAGATGTTGGGTGGCTGTGTGAGACTGAATTAAGGCGAACAAGACTGGAGGCAGGGAGGCTGTTGCCTAAGTAAGAAATATCAGGGCCTAAACCAGGGCAGTAAGTGAGGCTGAAAAGGAAAGCACTAATTCAAAATTATATTTAAGAGGTATCAGCAGAACATAGTGCCTGACTCGTCCTGACACCATGGAAAGGAGTTTGGATTTTATTCTAGGGTGATGGAAGACCCTGAAATGCTTTGAGCAGGGAGTGTGATTTTCTGAAAGATTTTAAAGAACCTCTCAGAGTGCTGTTGGAGAATATACTGTAATGGAGAAAAGAGTGGTAACAGATTATTTATTTTTTTAAAAGAAGGATATTGCCATAGAAGAGATTGATGGTAGCTTGAACCAGGGTGGACACAAAGGTGAGAAGCAACTGGATTGTTTGGGGGGTGTGTGTGTGTTTAAGAGACAGGTTCTGGCTCTGTCATCCAGCCTATACCACAGTTTCTCAAATCTCAAGTGCGCCTCCCGTGGGCCTCCCACAGTGCTGAGGTTACAGATATGAGCCACCCTATCTAGTCTCAGGTTGTATTTTTAACTGCAAATAGTATTGCCTAATGCATAAGGTTGAGAAAGAAAAAAGCAAGTTTAGGAAGATCACACTTGTTGAGCTCAACTGTCTTGTTTAATCAGGAGGTCAGGTTGTCCGCCTAGAGTGAAAATACCTTCAGAGGCTTGAGGACTGCAAATAGTAAAGGTCTGGAAGACAGCAGAGAAAATAAAAAGAGCTGAACAAAGGCTATTTAAGGATTAACTGATGCCCTGCATGAAGTATGAAACCATATGATTTTAGTGATATCAGTCTAACGTGATATGTCATTTTCCCTTCACAACACTCAACTACCCAGTTGCAGGAGTTAAGCATAGACTGTAGAATCTACAGGGTTTCATTTGTAAATGGCTTGAGTTAGATGACTTTTTAACCTACATGAGTTCCAAAACTTTACTTTTAAGAATCCTAGAGTCTGTACTGCTATCACACAATTTATTTTAAATTGGTGCCTAGATATAAATAACATAAACTTACCATTTTAACTATTTCACTAGTTTATTTACATTCAGCATTCCAGCCAGGGACCTCTAATAGGTGTGCTGGGACATTAAAAACCTAGCCCTGAAGGTGGCAGCACTGGGCCTGAGGTGACTAGTCTCAACTTCTACTTCTGTTGCCACAGGATGGAAGCAGCCTCATCTTTTCATTACAATATATAACACAGGTGTTCATTTTCTAAGTATGCTGAAGTTGAAAAAGTTTGGGAAGTACTGCTCTAAGCCACAAAATATGAGAAACCCAGCATTACGAAGAGTTCAAAATAACTGCTTCTCTGTTAAAGACGTTTTTTCAGCAGATCTTTGGAACTTCCAAGTTTATTCCATGTGGTTCTTAAAGCTTCTTTAGAACCTATGAGGATGCCCGCCATTTCCATTTTTAAAGTGACCATATAATATCTCATTTAAAAATCTAAGAATTTTGAATGTACCCAAAGGTTTCCATTTACATAGAAACGGGATCTATCAGGGAATGCCCATTTAATTCACTCATAGAATACTGATTTGGTGGCAGACACTGGGCTAGTTTCTGGAGACAAAAGGGTGAACAAACCTTTTTTATTTTTTAAATTTTAGAGACAAGGTCTTTTGCTGTGTCACCTAGGCTGGAGTACAGCGGCACAATCATAGCTCACTGCAGCCTTGAACTCCCGTGCTCAAGCGATCCTCCCACCTCAGCTTCCACAGTAACTAGAACTAGAGCCATGCACCACTGTGCCCAGCTATTTTTGTTTGCTTTTTTAGAATAGGCGACAAGATTTCACTATGTTGCCCAAGCTCATCTTGAACTCCAGGCCTCAAGTGATCCTCTTGCCTCAGTCACCCGAAGTCTGGCCCAAGACATGGTTTTTTTATCTCAAGAAATTTACAGTCCAGCAGGGAGACAGAATTAATTAAATAACTAAAACAATAAAAACTGTAAGAAGGGGAGGTTACATGGTACTATAAGAGGATCTAGAAGAGACTATTGAAATAAGATAAAAACATGATTAGTTTTTTATCTCAAGAAATTTACAGTCCAGCGGGGAGACAGAATTCACTAAATAACTAAAACAATAAAAACTGTAAGAAGGGGAGGTTACATGGTACTACAAGAGGATCTAGTAGAAGAGACTATTGAAATAAGATAAAAACATGATTAGTAGCTAGCTAGGGCAAAGAGTGGGGTAGGTTTGGTGGAGAACTCCAGGCAGAGACAATAGCATGCAATGGCCTAGGAGACATCAAAAGTCTAGTGAGACCACAGGACAGAAAATATCTGGAAATAAAGCCAAAGAGGTAGCAGAGGCAATTCAAAGGGGCTTCCTTCACAGAGTAACTGGAAGCCACTGAAGGGGTTTAATCAGCATAGTGACATTAATAGATGTACTTTTCAAGATCACAGTAGCTGCAGTATAGAGAAGTGGTCTCAAAGTAGACAAGATTTAAGGTGGAGGAGGGAAGAAGATGTATTTTTATTCTATTTTTTTCATCCTCTAAAAATGCTTTTAAAATGGATTATAATATTAGCTAAGAAATACTAATTATGGCTAGCTTTTGGGCACATAGTATATATCTGAATACTAAGCAGTTTACATATATTCATTTAATCTTAATACCCTGTGAGGTTGGTACTATTATTATCCTCAATTTACAGGTAGGTAAAATGGGACAGCGAGGTTAAGCAGTGAGGTCACTCAGTAAGGAAGTATTAGAGCAGGATTTAAACCCAGATGTCTGACTTCAAAGCCTGTAACTTCCTCGTTAGATCATGTACCATTTTTCAGAAGTACATGTATGTAATTTAAAATTAAATATATATATGGAGAATAGATGCTCAAATTTTTTTCCGAACACCAGTGAAAACAAAGGTTCAGGAGGGGTGGTTGGCTGTGTTGATGTGGAAAGGAGACTAGCAGTAGACTAGGTAAGAAATAACAGTATCTTGGATTATGGAGGTAGTGATGGAGAGAAGGGGATGGATTTAGATGTCTGGTAAGTAAAATTGGACTGGGTGATGGCTTGCATATGGAAGTTAGGGATGAATAAAGTGTCAAGGATGACTCTGGTTTCTGACTTGCATAAATGGATTAGACAGTGACACACAGGCAGAGGCCATAGGAACAGGTTGGGTCATTCTGCTCAGATACTTTTTCTTTGGACCACAGTACAGACCACAGCACACTGCTCTTTCAATACTCTGTTAAATGACAAACTTATTACAGGTTATGTCATAAACATAAAAGCTTCACTCTGTCAATTATGTTTCCTATCTTGTGTTAAAAATTACATAGTCAAAATTTTATCCATTTTCTTTTAAAAATGTGGAGTTAAGTCTTATAAAACGGGGAAGTGAATGATAGTTGCCGTAACACGCTAATAGAAGGTCTAGCACCCCTCTTCTGTATACTAACTTTTTAAGTTATGGTATTTATTCATCCCTTAAGATGTGGGGACAGGTGGAAAAATTACCTTTCCACTTTGTATTTATGATTTTCTAAGTACTAAACTTTTAAACTGTTAATATCCCTTGTCCTCTTCCCAGGTCTTAGAATGATTACACAAAAGTACTGGACTGGTTTAAAAGATATTGTGATTCTACTCTGTTTTGTTCATTTGTAGAATTTCTAGTGGTCTAAAAACGATTCTTTTAGAAATCAGGAGAAATAGGAATACCTACTATCGGTCTGAATCTCAAACGAACAGTCACAAGAAAACTGGACTTAAAAAAAAATTATCTAACAGCATGTTGTCCCAATAAATAACGCTGATCGCTTCAGATTCCTTCTCTTTTCAGATCTGCCAGAAACTTCCTGTTTAACCTCAGCAAAACACAGATCGTTTTGATCTATGGCGTTACCGCCCAATCCTGTCAGGTCACATCACTAAATTGCAGATAACAGCAACAAGGCCGAAAACTATAGCCTGTAATCTCAGCACTTTGGGAGGCCGAGACGGGTGGATCACAAGGTCAGGAGATCGAGACCATCCTGGCTAACATGGTGAAACCCCGTCTCTACTAAAAATACAAAAAACTAGCCGG